TTCTCCGGAATTTGTTACGCGTGTTGTGTGCGTGTATTGTAAAAACATCAAGGCATTATCAGGATCCTATAAAACATTTTATCTTCCAATTTGTTTCGGGGGTACCCATAAATCCGTATTTCCTCGCACATCTTTTTAGCACCCGGTTGTGCTTATCTACGTGACTATGTGTATATATGTACACGATCAGAGGTCATAATCGACACTTGTTTGTGCCAATTTTGAAAAATGTACGGAGACTTGATATAAAAAAGACTATGTACGTTATATTTTTTCAATTTATTTTTATGTAACGTAAAGGTTGTGAATAGAAATGGAAAGATCGTAACGATTCGCGATATAGGTACATACATTGTTATGATAACAATAAAACAGCCATTTTTATATAATAACGTATCAGTATCTTTTTTATATAACGTTATACAACATTACACTATATAATTTGATAGAGCGTTATTTTGTAAAATTTTATCGAGTTTTTCAACTTTAATTTGTTTCGATTTATTCCAGTTTAAAAGCAAATAAAGCTGTAATAATTTCAATATACTTTAAAAATAGATCCAGATAGTTTTACAAAGTTTTAATTTTTTGGAAGATATTTACATGCGTTGTGATTTGATAGAGTTGTTATTAAAATTGCTCAGCATAATAACTAAAATTAAGTTAGAAATTAAGAAAGATAGGCGGATTGTTTTACAACGATCACTTTACCACGCGTTAAATCCTGGTTTTAGAGATAATAATTTATTTCAACATATTAGCATAAAAAGGACCGAGAGAGGCGGATATTTCTTGCACGTAAATTCGACCTTTCGAATCTCTCCACTGTATCATCAGGTCGCTTTTGCCCGATGTTCGTATGTTTTACTTTCTCTCTTTTTCTTCTTAAAGCGAGATTCTACTTTAGAAGGCCACAAAATAGGTGATTTTTAGGAATTTTTTTTTTAAATAAAACAAGATATTAAAGTGGGACTTTTTTCATAAAATATATTATAGTTTGCTTTAGAAAAAAATATTTTTTAATCAATTTTTATTAAAAAAATGTGACGTACAAGTTGTTCATAAGATAGCGTCGTTCCGCGGAATAAGTTAATCGGTGGACATGATTGCATTGTAACTATTGATTTGAAACAAAAAAAACCAAAAATATTCTTAAAGTTAATAAAATTAAGTGCATGAACCTAAGAAAATAGAAAAAAATCAAAATTACACAAAATGTTGGCACTTGGAAATAATTTTTTTGCTCCTTTTTTTTGTTGTTTTAGATTCATTAAAAAATAGTAATTTTAAAAAATTATTATATATTTTAGAATTCTTGGAGCAATTAAAAACCAGCTCAGGCCTTTGTTCAGCTTTTTAATTATTGTATTTGATATATTTTAGATTCATGCACTAGTAAAAACTATCTACTTTATAACAAAACAAAACTGAAGAATCGGTTGATTCTTTTCAGAAATATTACGCTCACCAGTTTTGAGGCTAAAGCATGCTTTCGAGATAATCGCGTTTAAAGTTTTAAGCGTGCTTCTATGCTTTGTTCCATACAATAGCGTATAATTCCGGAAATTTTCGAAAAATCCTTTTACACACATATTTTCGATACATAGTCGATTTAAGCAATACAATAAAATTTTTTTTTAAACTTCCAAAATAGAATCTCTCCTTAAAACGCTGAAACGTAAAACTAAACGACCCTATTTTATTCTTACTCATTTTACGCATTTTTTTTACAAAATAGAATCTAATATAAAAAATTTGAAAACTGACTTGTTCATATTAAAGTTAGTTATGCAGTAAAACGCGTAATTTAAAATTTATAATTTTTTATTAAAAATTAGCTGAAAAAATTCTGTAAATGTGAATATCTACATTCAGTATATTTAAATATTAATGCAGTGTTATACATATTATATGCAGGAAAATAGAAGCTAAATATTATTATGTTCGGAAAAACAGAAGCTAAATATTTATATTTTCTAAAACATCATTTTTTAATGATATTTAGTGAAATTTTTATTGTTATTTAATAAATCAGTATTTGAAAAATTTAGCTGGTTAATATTCTTTTAAATTAATATTCTTTTTAATTAATATTCTTTTTAATTAAGGTCAAAGTCTAGGAGAGCTTTAAAGTAATTAATATAAAAATAACTGTTGAGTTAAATTTCTTAGAATTTCTGGAACACTTAATATCTCTTTTAATTGGGAAAATTTAATTTTGAAAATACGATGACACAAAAGAGCTGTGTATAAAAATTGCAGTAGCGACAAGTATCGTGCACAATATCTGATGTCCATTCGTGTCGTTAAATAACTTGTTAAGTAGAGTAAAGAAAGTTTTCTATTTGATAACTTTGTTGTGTGCTTACTTGGTAACTACTAAGCTTGTTTTTCCGCTACCTGATTACATAAAGCTTGTAAACTACAAATTTTACGATAGCTTACTGTAACATGCGTCTTAAAGAAAAATGAGGGATAAGATAATCAATTAAAATCAAGCAACTTCTCTTTCACTCAATTTTTTAAAATAAAACTTGAGTAAAATGAAGAAATTGAGATGTTACGCAAAATATGTAGCGCTACATGTTTTTTTTCTAATTTAATTTTTGATTTAATTATATTAATACATTTGCAATGTCGCTAATATGAACGTTAAATTCAAACATAAAAAGAGCGTTACGTCCTGATGGACTCCATGATTCTTATTTTTCACACGGATCTACAGTTACTAAAAATGAAATCGTATCTGGCCAACACAGGAAGTAATAAATTAAAGTTGTTTAAACAATAGCTTCTCAGAATTTTCTTTCACGCCGTCGCTGACAAAGGAATCAAAAATTGTTATTTAACATACCTAGAATGACATCTGAAACTAACTGAACGATTAAGAGCCTTAGAAGGAAGAACTGATATAAACTGAAAATTTAATCACCGCAATCAGTATCTTTGGCGCCCGCAAATCTCCATAAGTAAACATGAATAAACATAGGCAAAAAGATTTTTCATACACAAGCTTAAACAATCTCACGTTAGCTAAAATTCGATATTGTTCCAATGTTCGTCAGATAACTCGCGCCGCATTATTAATATTTGCTAAACATCCTCGGACCACCCGAAAAGTTCTCAACCGGATTACGCAACGTAGAAAACGAGGAACCCCCCACCTGACTCTCAGCCCACCAATAGAGTACATAGATTTTTCTAGCCGTTAACATCTTATACCCCACCAAAATCAAAAGGAACCAATTAACTCTTCAATCAGGCCAACGCCCGAATTATTAAATAGGGATGTAAAAAAGAGGGGCAATAATTATAAAAAACCGCGCTAGTCCTTTCCGCGACACATTCCGTTCGAAATTTCGCACGCCATTAGTTGACCATTCGCTTGATACAATTTTTTTTTTAACATTCTCACGTTTCTCCGATACTCGCTCGGGTATTCCGCGAACTTGTGATCTCTTGATCTCAATTTGGACTTCCTCCAACCTTCTCGACAACCTATTAAGCTCAGCCTGTGCTATTCAAGTCTTGACAGCGTTACCTTTCTCACATCAACCGGTAAGTCATTGTTGTAATTTTATTCTCACACCATCAACTCCGTTTTGACACGGAAAATTTAGTTTTTCTTCTTTTCAATTCCTTAGTGAATAATAAATCCCCCGAGTTTCCCGTCTCGATCACTCCGCCGTAGGCGCCGGACTCGTTCGCAGAAACTGCTAGCTTCTTGAGGGATAGCATCTCTCCGGTCGCCATACTTGCGTTACAGATTCGCTCAGGCCCCGATTTATTCATCACACACGTACACAACTCTACATAGCCAATAGACAACATGTCACACAGTCCCCTCCATTTCCCATACCAAGACTCCATTCCATTTCTTCGGCTCCCTCAGTAGAGTTCCTCGAAGAAATAATCCTAGTACTCGTTTCTTCTGAGCCTAGGCCTTCACTTCCAATCGAATCTTTCCCTGATAATGTTAACCAACCGATAGAGCTCCTTCCTGACGAACTCTTGGTTCCAGATTTCCACTCAATATCGACCCGGAGAAACTCTCCTAACTTAAGACATTCTCCCCCTCCTCTTTTTCCTTCTCTTTCACCACTTCACCCAAATCATCATATAAATTTCTTTTACCCTCCGGAAGAATGACATTCGCACAAACTAATTCATACGTAGAAATTATAATTATAGAATTATGTTAAGTCACATAACTATACTAGAATTAGTTTGTAAATTTATAATTAAGAATTAGCCAGTGTCTCTGAACTTATGATTTTGTTATTTTTTGTATTCGTAATTCTAGACGTTTGTTTTTATTTTATTAAACATAATTAATTTTTATATTTAAAGTAAAAAAAGACATTGTTTTTATTTCTTAAGCAACCTCGTCGATAATCCTTTTCTTGGGGTTTGGTTCCGCCTTGGTAATTGAGATTGCTATCTCAGATCGAAAAGGGAGCCAACGGTGACTGAATATCGGAGTGAAGCGACCTTGTTAGTCGTTAACCCGATTTTCTCAGCATGCACAATCCGCTCGGATCACTAGGTCGGAAATCTGACCGGTGATTAGAACAGGTGTTACGCTCCTCCCGTGGCTTTCTCAAGACAGAACATAACACTTGAGTACATGATTAAAATGAAGAAACTGAGATGTTACGCAAAATATGTAACGCTATACGCTTCTTTTTCTGATTTAATTTCTGATTTAATTATATTAATACATTCGCAATGTCGCTGGTACATTTTATTAAATTCAAACGTAAAAAGATTAATTATTAATAATTGCTTATTTCATACAAAAATACAGAAATAAATTTACATAGATACACTCATTGATAATAAGCAAATTTTTTTAATGAAAAAATATGTTTTATAATTCAACTGGAAACTATATTTCTATATCTGTCGCAAATGTGCTAATAGCGGTCAACAAACAATATCATTATAACGATGGTTTACCATCATTGTGAAAAATTTATTTTTTATTCTAGATTTCTCAACGCTCGGAATACCATCGCTTACGAGATCAGCAACAACGAAACTTACCTGAACAACGAAACTCTGCTTTATAACGCATCAATGAACGAAGACTATATCTTCGACAGAACCGATGTGAAAGTAATCTTCATCACTTTGTACACCATTGTATTCGTCTGCTGCTTCTTCGGTAAGTCGTACAATATTTTACATATACATACGTCATTATCTGATCTTCAGTAGTAACACATTGATAACTACACTAATCAACAAACTAAGAGAGTGAGAGAAGAAATAGATTATATACTTGCATGTCTCATAAGTAGCAATTCTCGTCGTATCTGTCTCTCTCATGTGTGATGAATATAAATTGCTAAATTATGAATATTAATCATTCTCAGCGCCTCGCAATATTAGTCAAGTGAGGAAATAATGAAAATATCTTACATGTATATTTCTAATAAATATTATATAACCTAAGTCGATTATATAAAATGAGATAATTATTAATGTAAATGAATGCCGTTACTTTGACCTGTGATAAACATGGGAAATGGAAAAAAGTTATAATAATTTGTATATTACATAAATAATCGTAATTTAATACAAAGTAACAACTTTAAATAAAAGATAATAGATTTATTATATATTGCATGTTGCGTAAATTTGTGCCTGAGTAAATTTTATCAGCTTACATTTCATATTTAATTTAAATTTAATTTAGTAACGATTTTAATTGCAATCAATCTATTTGTCTTTCATATATCATTATCTTGAGGAGAGATTAATTTATCATGCTTTACACACCTTATGCCATATATTTGCCAGTATAAGAAATGTAGTTAGAAAGTCACACGATGAGAGTCCTTACTTCTGTAATTTGCGCAAACGTCGCGCTGCTGAAGGGTTAATCTTGCTGTTAATTCACAGCAAGTTTAATCAACGTCTATCTCGAACCGAAGTAAAAGACGTTTCATGCGGAAAGGGAATATTCCTTTTTGCCTAATGAGGCGCGCTCGAAACTCGTACGTCGCTGTCGTGACAACTTCATTTCCTCGGAGAGATGTCACATGAACCGCAGGTGGATTACCATGAAACCACCATTAGGTAGTCGGTCGCTTCCGGACGCATGTCTGTCAAGGTATTAACGAATCGCTTTTAAAGGAGCAAGCGTCGTAATTTGTCGATCTCAAGCGGGAGACAAATCAGAGTTGTTTATGCATTTGTCGGCACGCGCTAAGTGCAGGGGAGAACGGCATCCAATTATCCTAACAATGCTAGTTACTAAGGAATCTACTTCTAAGAATTGGACCCGACACGTTAACATAGCGCTCGAAATGTTAACTTTATCAGAAATTTCATTAGAGGCCCGATTGTTGCTCGGTATATTTAACTCTGTTGAATAACAAGTTATTTGAAATTTATCTAGTACTTATTATAACTTATCAGTTTGTAACTTATACAATTTTACAAGCACAAAAACGTTGTGTCATTATTGGCAAGGATATAAATTCCTTGTCGACACCGACTTGATCAAAGTAAAAGATTATTTTTGTTGTATTAAAATTTTTTAGACGAAGTAATCATAACCAGCATTTATTAAATAATAATTATTATCTAAATATTTATTAAAATTTATCATTAAACATTTCTTAATAAGATATACAGTATTAGGCAACAGACTGAACGGATTAAGAAAGCAATTTTATATAAGAAGTTTTTGTGAAATATGTTTTATGTTTTGTGTCTTATTTATCAATTGCTCATTCGATTTAATTAATTTAATTTGAAATTATTCGGAAAGAATAAAGTTACTGCCAATTTGCAACTGTATTTCCCGAACATGCGGTTTTGAGTACTAGAAATTACACACGCGTCATGCTGTCCAGAGCGCATCCACCGTTAAATGATTAAACAGTGCCTATCGAATTACGGACATGCTGATGTGACCATTTACTTTTCTTGTTATTTCTCGTTGTTGTTTCTCGTATTACGAAAGCGGATAATGACAGCATGCTGCTGTTTCAATACGAGCAATCGATAATTTAATTGCTCAATACATAATTGCCATGTTACATTAATCTTTAGATACATAAATCTTTCTTTGTTTTATTGTTACACTCTCATGTTTAAACTAAAGTTTATTTACGTTTAAATGTTTTTCTCTTAGATAACTTTCCAAAAAAGAAACTTTAAGACTATTTTTCTCAACATTATGCAATTTAAATAAATCACGCTATTTTCTGTTATTGGAATTTTTGTAAATTATGAGAAAGCAATTTATTCGAGAATCAAAGATGACTTATCGGAAATATTCAAAGTTGCTATTTATATTGTTTACTTGACTATTGTGTTATTTTTAAATTAATTCTAATTACGTATACTTTGAAAATGCTCACAATTTTTATTTTGATTATATCTAAATAATTTACAGTCTGTTTTTTTAATGTCAAAACATTTATAAATTTTTAATTATGAGTAATTTATGTATATAAAAAATGTATGGAATAAGTTTGAATACTGAGGAATATTGTGAACAGTGAGAAATTCTAATCGTTATCTGTAATTATCTGGCATCTCTCTGTGTCGTACTATCAGCGATTATTCTTGCGTTCCAATTATTCCGAGTACCTGTATCCACCTTGTATACATTCTACTACGGTCGGAAATGCAAATACCCATAGGTGGTGCGATAAATCCCGGACACGAACAGACGATTCCGCGCGCGCGTGATGGTTTGTACGGTGAAATTTCAATTTGTTGCTTTTTCTCTCTTCAACTCGTTTTATTCCGATAGTGCACTCGCCAAGCGTCCATTCTTTTCCTTTTTGTTCCGTAAATGAAATGACGGAACGAGCAAATCGACCTGCCCGGCCTGAAACGAGCTTTTGCTAGACGTATCGTTAGAAAGATTCGTCCGTCGTAAACCAATACGTTACCAATCACAATCTCACTATTGTACCACAAAGATAATAAATATTCAAAATATACATTCTTTTTTTTAAGATAAAAATTTGCAACGCTTTATTTTGTTTATCCTGTATTTAATTTAATTTATTTTTATTATATTTAAATGTATAAAAATATATCCACTGAGACTGGAAAAACTCTGAAGGCCGAATTTCTGAAGTGCTCCTAAATTCATATTCTGAATTTCTAAAATAAGTCCGCTTTTAAGAGATTTTCCGATTTCCGTCGAACATTGATAGTTCGATGATAAGTATAGTTCTTGCGAACAACGCATTTTCTACTAAAATTGAAATATTAAATATATGCAGTTAAATACAGAAAATGTCACGCATAAGTAAATTGTTATAAATTATTAACGTTTAATTTATTATTACAATAATATATTTGCATTTATTAATCTTCTCATTTAGTAATAATGAGTTAAAATTTATAGTGTTAGTTAGCCATTTAAATTTATTATACGCGCGGTGCTTCAGAATTTCACTTACAACACGCAATCTGCCAGCGAGGCGGAACAGAAAATCGACAGAAATGCGAACATTAATCTAATTGGAAGCTCGTAAATTCAAGTGGCCAATAATTGTGTAGTGACCAACAGCTGTACGGATTATTCTACGTTACGTACGTACGCAATGGTACATAGTAAAATAACATTCCGCAATAAGCCGCGATGTGATCAGAATAAAAAGAGACAAAACAGTCTATTGTGTATGATTATTTTATATAGTATAATATATTGTTAATTTCAAACATTATGCCATCTAAAATTAATTCTCAAGAAGGAAATCGCATATTTGCAATAAATTTAAATAATTATTATTATATTGTCATTATTATAATCACATTGACATTTTCTAACAGAATATTTGCATTTATTCGCGGATATTTCGAAGACAATATGGATATCAAATAAAATACGATAATACATATCAATTTGATTATTTTAAATATTTACGCATGGAAATTCTTAATAGGCTGATTTATAGAAATCTCTGTCCATTATTAATCCTAAATGTTTTGTCTTTTTACTGGTATCGATACTGTATTATAAATAATATTGGCATCATTGGCCAATTACTTTAATCCACATGTATTAATGTCAAATTTTAAAATCAATAAGCTTCTCGGAACTAGATACTATCTATACATTTTAATCTTTTGATGGATTACTTAATAACATTACATACTATCAGAATTTATAATGTGATATTAAATTGATTCCATGACTTTAATTAATGTGATACTTGATCATAGCATACAATATTTCAAAATACACCAATATTACTTTAATATAAAGACATTGATCTTGTGGCTGCTGAGTTTTTTAAAACGACTATATTGGTTACACAGCAATGAAGTACACCAATTATACGTCCATCATACTTAATTGTCGCTTTTTTAAGCTTTTTACACTCAAAAAAATGATCTTGCAATAATAGCTAAAATTTTCTAGGTGTGAAAAATTAACTAAAACAGATAAATGATTAGCAACTGTTGTGATATTGCATATGTAATTACTTAATCAGTTTAGATGACAGAAATAGAATATATATCTGTATTGTTTGTGAACTTTAAAAAGAAAGTCTCTCTAAAGCGCCTATCTATATAAGATCAATCACGTGTTAAATCAGGCAATGCATAACATTTAGCAATGGTACCTAAATTTTTCAGAAGCTATTGCTAGAACATTACTGCTATAAATTCTATATGTGACAAACAATGTTTTCACAGATACAAAAAATAGCGATACATTCTTGTTGCAATATCTAGAAATCTAACTACATCAGCGAAATATTTTTTTGAGTGTAATTAATAAGAGTAGAATAAAAACAGTGGCAAGCGTATAACAAAGAAAAATGGAAAGGTCTGTTTAAACTCGTCCTAGATCTATTTACTTCTGCGTTTGTCGAAAATATCCGTAATCTATTTCTACTTTCTACTTGTTTCTACTTGTTTCTGATGTCTTTTAGCTATTTTTTTCAGATCTTGTATTCGTTGCAATCTTAGATTTAATTTCTTTTAGTCGACATTTTAAAACTTTTCATTGATTTTTTAAAACTATCTACAATAAATTCATCTTGAGAATATCTTAAAAAACATGATTACTAAAATGTTTTTCGGAAAATTGGATTTCAAAAATTAACATGCTGATTAGAGAAAGTTTTTACAATACAAAAAATATTTTGTAGTAGGTATATTTTATAATAAAAGACATACAAC